TGTTTAGTTTATTTCTTCCATGAATAAGTAAAACAGGCACCTGGGTCTGGCAGGTGGCATGGTGGTTAAGGGTGCTGGACTCCCACATGGTCGATTGTGGTTCAAGTCTCGGACCTGGCGGCTTGCTTTCCCACTTTCTCTCTCTCTCTCCCTCTGTGGTCAAATGAAGTCAATAAATAAAATAAAATAAAGTTAAATAAACTAATTCTAAAAGAAAGAAAGAAAGAAATACACCCTCAACAGGGTCTTCAAGGCACAGTCCATCCCCAGCTTTAATCACGGGCCTAGCATGTTCAGGAAGGTCTTTGGGTGTGAACCCAGAACCTTCTCACGTGGGTCGGCCTCACGGGAGAGCACAGGCTCATCACCACATCACCATATGCCCCCCCACCGATGCTTTCTTACATGCTGTTTGTAGTCCTTCCTGGGGAAGTAGGAGCGGTGAGCTAGACTGGAATGCTGTGTCTTCAATCTCAGGAAAAGGAAGAGGAAGGCAAGGCCGGGTGATGTATTTCTAGCGCTGCGTGCCTACGTCTGGCGGGACAGGGTCTCCAGCCTCCTTCAGGGCTGCGTTGGCACCACTGGCATCAGATTGGTTATTAAATGAAGAGTCTGAGGCCTTTAAACATCCTTCATACTGTTTGGAGAAGCTGCAATTAACATCTCCCGAGCAGCTCACAGAACTTGGTTGCTAGGCAGCAGACCTTTAAAGACAATTTGTCAATTTCTGCCAAAAGAGAGAAAAATAGTAAACATTCACATGCGAAGAAAATTGCTTGTTTTTGAGCTTCCAACTTTTTTGCCACGACAGGCTTGCCGTTCATCAGTGTCCATTTTATTCTTCATTTATTTTCATCAATCATCCAGAGCAGTTTTAGAATCACGAAGCCTTTTCCAGGCCTAACCCCGGCAGTTCAGAACAGAAAGATGGGCCCTGTAGCATGGCCCGGATGTGACTGATCGGCAGACTGAGGCCACATGGGGAGCCTGGGTTTATTCCCTGCCCAACCTAAAAAGTGTGGTATAGTGGGGTCTCCCTGTCTCAGCTTCTTGGGAGGCCGAGGCAGGAGGAATGCCACATGTTAAGACCCTATGCTTTTTTATTTGGTTGGTTTTTGTTGTGTATTTGATTTTGCTTTTCTTTTTTGTCACAGGATGTGTGCACTTGTCAGAGAGACAGAGGGAGAAAATGAGAAAAACCTCCCAGGGGACATGGCCACACCATAATCCCTTCTCCTCCATTCTCCTTTTAGGATTTTGGGCACGTGCACACACCTCCAGCCACCCGATTGGGACTTGAACAGCAGTCAGCTGTGTGGGATCCATCCAGCTGCCTTAACTACCATGTTGCCAGCTGGCCCAAACAGTAAAATTAGGGACCAGCAGCTGGCATAATGGCTATGTCGCTGGATTCCCACGTAGTCGACTGCAGTTCACGTCCCGGACCCGGTGGCTTAAAACTCACGCCGGGCGCGTGTGTGTGTGTGCGCGGGCCCAAGATCCCGAGAGAAGAATGGAGGAGAAGGGATTGCAGCGTGATCATCCCTCCTGGGGGGTGATTTCTCACTTTCTGTCTCTCTGTCTCGCTCTGTCTTTCTGGTGAGCGCACGCATCCTATAGTAAAAACCTCTCAAAAAAAAAAAGTAAAATCAGGGCCAGCCCCTTTGTGTAGTAGTTAAGCTCTGTGGATTGGGAGCCAAATCTATGGCCAATGACAGTTCTAATCCCAGCCCTGGAACTTGAAAAATAATGCCAGTTGTGTGTACATGTGTATATATGTGCCCAAATTCCTGATAGGATGGGGAAGCACACATGCCCTCTGGCAATTAAAAAAAAAAAAAAAAGGCTTGAAAGAAGTCTAGGTCACCGTTGGGCTACCACATTTTGGCTGGTTTTTGTTTTCATGTCTAGAGGCTCCTTTGGGAAGTACAGCGTACCCAGCTGCCCAATGTCAGCCTTGGGCAGTAACCAAGGAAGCTGAGCCATGGAAGGGTCTTGAGTCATTCAGGTTTGTTCACACCTTGTATGTGCAGGCCCTGCGTGTAGTGCAGGCTCCGACCCTGTGGCCCAGCCAGGCCTCTACGAGGAGAACGCTGTGGGTGTTCAGGCAAACTCACAGCCCTGCCTGGGGTTGGAGAAGGCTTCCCAGAGCAGGTGGGGGAGCTGGACTCATTTCAGGATGAAGCATCCCAGCCCCACTTTGGCAAGGGAGGAGGAATTGCAGCGGGGCTGCCCCCCCCTCCCTTGGGGGGAGTGGGGGGAGTGATTTCTCGCTTTCTGTCTCTCTGTCTTTCTGGCAAGTGCAGGCGCCCTATAGCAAAAACGTCTCAAAAAAAAAAAGTAAACAAAAAAAGAGTGCTTGAGATATTGCAAGTGCATCCGAGTGGCCCTAGGGCCTAGTAGGACAGTGGAGAGTCACTAGCCAGCCTGCCTTTACAAAGGGGACAGCCAGATTTGCATATTTGCCTTGGGGAAGCCACCTATTTTGGCTTCAAGAGTTTTGGGCAATGAGCAGGAGGCCAAAGGGGAAAGGGACGCTGTGGAGGAGTTGTGTTGGCCTGAGTCCCCTGGCTACCCACAACTCCAAGACCTTGGGTAAGTCATCCGACTAACCGGAGTCCCAGGCTTCTCACGGTGAAGCAGGGATGGTGGCCGTGCTCTCACGGCGTTGGTGTAGGCACTGATAATAAACGAGTTCCAGAACAGCCCTAAGACAGTTACCGTGGTGTCTAAGAGCTGGTTCATACTGTGACAATGCTGACCTCCCAAAGGGCCACTAGTGTCCAGTCTGCCACGCCCTCCCTGAGTGACCTAGGTTGGAGCAGACCTCGCTTAGAACCAGACTCTGGTCTTTCCTGAATCTCCCTGACTGCAGCATGAAGGGACTCTCGAGTTGAGCCAGAGCACTCTGCTCCGAGTTATCCGTGCCAAGCCTGGTGCTAGGTCAGGGCCACCTCTCCCCAGCTGACGTGGCTTGGTACTCTGCTCTTGCCCGGCTCCAGCTTGCACTGAGCACTGGTCCCTGGGCTTCAAGCTCTGCAGAACAAAAGCTGCCTGTTGCTCAGAGGCCCTTGCAAGATCCATGGGGTTGGGGTTTCAGGCTCTGGGTGTCTCCATGAGGTGGCTCACCCTGTTCATGGGGGCCTGGAACGCACGGCCAGGAAACAGCTAGGAAGCTCAGAGTCATCAGGTGATTCCCCACAGAGCCCCAGTGTTCAGTGCCAGGCACTGAGGGTATAGCCAACGAGAGGACATCTGTGGTGGGGGGTACAAGAAGCAAGCAACCCAGGTAAACAGGATCACTTTCAGGAGCGTAAGTGCTGGGAAGAGAGTGAGGCAGGATTGGAAGCAAAGAGGCTCAGTCGTCGGGTGGACACTCCCTGAGTGGGTGATCAGGAAGGAATCTTCCCCCAGGGGGCAACAGCCCAAAAGAGGGAGCAGTGTTTCTGACCTCCTCATGCATTTTTCAGTAAAAAGTGAGTGACACTGGGAGGCTGGAGGGCTGATTTCTGGGGCTGCATGAAAAGCTGGGCCCCAGACAGGTGGTTCCCAAGACATCAGGCCCATGGGGGTTGGGCTGTCCCACCTCTTGGCTCACTTGGTTTGGTTCTGGAGAGATTTGAGGCAATCATGAGTCACTGTGGGGTCAGTTTGTCCTTTTCAGGTCTTGTCCTGGAGCCCACAGGGAAATAACCCAGCCTCAGCCAGCAGAGGGGGGTGAGGAGAGCCCCAGCGCCTGCGTTTACACTGTCCTATTAACCGTCTTACTGCTTGCTAATAAGATATGCAAATTGTCAGGGCTGTGAAATCTTAGCCACATTCCATCTTCTGTTTAATTAGCATTTAATCGTAATCTGATTTTAATTTTTTTCACACTGGCACCCTAATTAAATGTTAGGGTGTTAGTCTTAACAATTAAATTATATTGGCAAATAGAGTCTTCAGGAAACTTGACCTTTTCCAAGCCAGGGCCTTCTCTAGCTAGGCGAAGACATTAATTAGATTCTGGAGATGCTGCCTCCAGGCCTCTCCGTGCACCCATTTCCATTTTTCCTTGTGGTTAAGGCCCTAGATTCAAATGAGGCCCCAGCAGCCAGTGAGGGGCCCCCAGCCGGCAGTGGTTACCGCTGAATCGCTTTGTCATTGGCCTCTGGAAGGCCCCTGAGCTGACTTAGCCCTGAGCTGAGCAGTGGCTGCTGACTTTTGCAGGGAGGGCTGGCTTGGGCTTTTGGTCTGAGGCCTGGAGTGCTTGAAGTGGTTTCCCTTTTCTCAGTGATGTGTGTTCTTCTTGATCTTGTGATTCTCAAGTGATGATCCCTGAGAAAGTTGGTGCCTGAGCAAGTCACACGGTGTCTAGAGGTGCCACGGCATCCCACCCTGTCTTCTGCTTACCCCACACACAGGGTAGTACTGGAGAGCCCCTGCTGAGGTAGAGACTCCTGTCCTTGTTCTTCAGGGACGCGGAGTGCCCAAGTCTGGTGCAGCCACTTTGTAGCCTGCCCAAGCCCCGCCCCCTCCCTTGGCTATTTGCATAAGGTCCTGGCCTTTTGTTTTCCTGGGGTTGGTGTCAGTGGTATTTGACACCCCCCCTTTGGGTGCAAATAGAACATAGTTTTAAACCTTCAGTGCACATTGTCCCAACAGTCACCTCATGGCAGTGTTGCCATCACAGAGGCCATTCTGCCCTTTGCTTTTTCTTTTCTTTTTTGTTTTTCTTTCTTTTTACCACTCTCTGTCTTTCCCTTTTTCTCCATCACTCACTCAAACTCTGGCTTTAATGGGTGTGAAAGTCATCTGAATTCAGTTCATCACATGTGTAGATCATCTGTCATGTGCAAAGTATGTGCTGGGCTCAAAGAAGATGTTACTTACTGTACTTACTGCTTCTGTCAGCAGGCGGAAGGCCCCCCAGAGTTGGATCTATCTGCCTCTTCCCTGCTTGCGGAACTCACTGCCCTGTGTCGGTCAGAAGCCACACTCTCCCCTCTTGCTCCTGACAGGTTTTCCGGACAGATTTGATCACAGCTATGAAGATCCCAGACTCATACCAGCTCAGCCCGGATGACTACTACATCTTGGCAGACCCATGGCGGCAGGAATGGGAGAAGGGTGTGCAGGTGCCTGCGGGAGCGGAGGCCATCCCAGAGCCCGTGGTGAGGTGAGCCAGGTTGCCCAGGCTGGGGGGCTTTGCGGGTGGGGGAAGGAAGGGGAGGGTGTTTTCAGGCGAGGGACCTGCCAGTCCTGGAATTCCTTTCTAGACCATCTCTATTTCTCTTGTCTACACAGCCTTTTGAATGTTCCAAGAGTATTGGGGGTTAATCTGTGAGGCCAAGGTTTTGGACTTGGGCTAGGCTCTGAGTTCAGATTTTCACTCACGTTCAGTATGACCTCGAGCCAGAAATATAATCCCTGAGCCTCATATGTTCTTGTCTGTGACAGATGAATATACAAACAACACCTGCCTCAGACAGTTGCTACGATGATATAGTGACGGGCCAGCAAATGGCGTAATGGTTACGTCACTGGTCCTCCCACATGGCCAATCACAGTGCAAGTCCTGGACCTGGTGGCTTGAAACACTGGATGTGTGTGCGTGTGTGTCCAAAATCCCAAGAGGAGAATGGAGGAGAAGGGATTATAGGGATTACTCCCTGCGGGGTGATTTCTCGTTTTCTGTCTCTCTGGCAAATGCACAACCCCTATAGCAAAAATCTCTCTTAAAAATAAAAGATTATCTAGTGAAATGATACGTGGACTTGGCATGGGACCTGGCACACAGCAGGTGCTCCGTGGATTAGATAGTGTCAGCCCAAACTGGGTCCCACAGCAGATCTGAAAGGGAAGTTCACTAAGCCTTCAGATGCGGATAAGCCATGCACTTGACTTTCTCGGCTTCTTAAAGGAGTGCTTAAGAGTGGAGAGTCAAGTGCCTGGCACGGGGTCCATGCCCAGGGTGCAGTTACTATTTCCCGCCTCCAAGGAGCCACCCTGCCAGGACCGTCTTAGACACTGTCATAGCCTTTGGCCTTCTGGGGTGAAGAGAACCCTGAGTGTCTCTTTGTCAGGACATATTCCGTGGCCATGAGTCCAGCTACAGACTTCACCAAGCACTTCGTTCTTCACTTTGGGAAGCCCTCCAAGTCAGGTCTCTGGCCAGAGGGGCCTGGGGCCTGGCCTCTCACTTATGTGGGTTGGGCAGCTTGGATTATTGGCAGTCCACTCCTGGGCTTGGCAGCCCAGGGTTCCCACTTCAGCCTGCATAGACCAGGCCTGGGGCAAAGATCATAGCTGTCACCTGCCTTGACATTGGCACTGTCGCCTCCTGGCAGCTGCACCTCTGACTGGCTGGCAGACACCAGGTGCCACTTAGTGCCAGCCTATGCCCATGCTGGGTATAGGCTCGCAGGTACAGCAGATCTGAGCCTCTGGGGACCGGGTGTTGTGAAGGGCACATTCTCCAAAAACTGAGTGCCTCCTGACATTTGGCTGGGGCATCTCTGAGAATCAGGAGAGCCCAAGGCTTTCTGGAAAGCCTGGAGGCCCCATTGGGAATGTATGTAGGATTTGGAGAATGAACTTATTCTCTACTTCCCTGCCCAGGGTCACAACTCTAAGTTAAGCTCCTAATCAGTTTTGCACCCTCGCCTCTGCAGACCGAAGAATGTTATTTGACCTCTTTAGACCTATTTTCTCCTCCTTAAAGTGAAGGTAATCTGCCTACTGGTGTAGTGGTGAGGATTCAATGAGAATATGCAAGTACCAGGTCCCAGGGCATCAGGGGAGGGACAGGCCGCCAGCAGCCAGAGAGGGGTGAGTCCTGATTAGGTTGGACCCAGCGGTCTGTCCACTGTACTTATGTCAATGTCAGGTGGTTCCGGAAACATCCGCTGGCCCGGGTAATTAATTGCAGATGCTCCCACACCAGTAGCTTGGCTGTAGTCTGCCCGGAGAGTGCTTTATCTGTTGACATCAAGAGGAGAGCACGTGTGCAGACTGCTTGGCTTTACTAGGTGCATCCCCAGCGTATGCGTGGCCACGCTCAGCTAACAGGAGTCTGGGACTCTGGGCCTGCCCAGGGTCTCTGGAGAGGATGGGCTGGAATTAAGGAATTGCACTCTCTTAGGGAGGTCCCCAGTCCCTTCTGCCCTGTCTCTTCCAGCCCTGGGCACCTTCCACAGCACAGCCCGAGCTGGAAGCCTGCCCAGCAGCCGTCATGATCAGAACTCGTAGAGGAACTCCGTTCCGAGGACTCGCTGTGCTGAGGCTGCTCTGCTCACCCTCTCATTTACTGGTCATATTATATGCACATCGCTGTCTGCACTTCACAGATGAGGAAGTCGGGAAGTTCTGGGGAATTCCCTGCGTGGCCACTGGGGCCTCGGAGGCTGGGCTAGGACATGGCAGGCACAGGAATGAGCCGGGGTTACCCCTGGCAAGGTCCATGAGACCCTGTGCCCAAATCCCCCTGGTATGCTGGCTCTGGCTCCCCCTCCCAACTGCCGCCCCGTCCCCGTGTCCCTCCGTGGAACGAGAGTAGGGCTGCCTACTCCATGGTCTGACATCTGTCTGAGCAGTGAAAGCCTGTCTTGTCCTCAGATTGTGACTCAAGTGAGGGCCCGCATTGCTCTCTCGGTGCGGCCGAGTGATAGAGCCCAGGGCAGACCCAGCCTCCAATGCCTGTCCGGTCTTCTGGGCTAGAGAATCCCCTCCCCCTCTGGCAGATCTCAGTCCACTTCCTCCTGGTGACCTCAGTCCTGCTGGCAGTGGCTGAGGCTGAGGCTGTGGCCTTGACCCAGGGCCAGGTCAACCCATCCCTGGTGGGAGAGCTTCCGCCAGAGCCAGAAGGGAGCAGAGAGATAAGGGCGAGAACCCAGGGAGCACCGGAAATGCCTTTCTGCTGTGAGTCCCTCAACCCCAGCTCCCCAGGGAGCTTGCCTCTCAGAGGCTTGGCCAGGTGGAGTAGGCAGGCAGGTGTGGGTGGTTATGCCAGTAGGTAGTGGGCATTCAGACAGGGGTTACCCCAGCCTCCACTACGCATATGCTTAGGGCACAAACCAAATCATGACAAAATTTTCGGCTGTTCTAAGATTGCGTTTGAATTCAGGTAACAGGTTCCTGGGGAGAGGCGGGATTGTGTGGAATCAAATACAAGCACTTGTGACTGGCTGACAGACACCAGGTGCTGCTTACTGCCAGCCTATACCATGATTCCAAATAGAAGCGGATCTGGTCGCACCACTGTCATTGCCCAAGGCTGCTTTACTGTGGGCCTCCTGTGTCCCTTTCGTCTTACCAGCCTCGTCCTCCTGGCGGGAGGCCCTCCTCTCCCTGTCTGTGCCTCTGCTTTTCTGTCTCCTTCAGCCCTCCTGGCCCTCTGGCTGACACCCAGGGTGTTTGCTAGAGCCCAGGAGCCCTGCCCACAGCTCAGCCATGCCTCTGTGCCATCCAGGGCCCTGCCCTTCCCTCCCGGTCTACGCTGAGTCACAGCCCCTGGCAGCCCTGCCTTCGACCCCAGGAGGCCTCTCGGGCCAGTGAGGGGGCCTCTCGGCCCTGGTAGGGCTGGCCAGATGGAGGCCAGGCACTAAAGCAATAACCATGGCAACTGGTGGGGGTGGGAAGAGCTGGCATTTTGAATTGGCATCGGGAACTGAGGGGCAGCACATGGTAGAGCTTGGAGGAAACTGCCCTCCTGGGGCAAAATGTCCCCTCTGTCCCACTTCAGAAGGTGATCTCCAGGGGTCTCGGTCTATGCATGCACACCTAGGGCTGGGCGTGCACCACGCACTTTTCTGAGAACTTTACACTCATTAGCCAGTTTAATCGAATCGCCAGCCGTGGAAGTACAGTCATTTTTAGCCCGTTTCACCAGGCCTCGGAGAATGGAAATGGCTTACCTGGGGTCACACATACGTGAGGGAGCTGGGCTTGGAACCCGACCCTCCAGCCACAGCCCTTCCAAGCTGCCTTGGAGGCACAGCCATGGCCCTAGGGAAGGCTGAGGGATTGTGATCCTGGGACTGTAGGAGGTGCATCATTGTAACCAGGGGATTTGATTTAGGCTCCATCTTGGGGATGGAGGTGCAGGCGGGGGTGGGGTGGGACGGAGGGTTACACTGAAGCAAGGCTCATCACCATTGTTACATTGGGTCAGGGAGAAGGACAAGGTGTGGGCAACGCTGTGTCCCATGGCCCTAGACCTGAGGAGAGGCTCACCGTGGGCCACAACCAAGTACCTAGATGGTCGGGGACTCCTCCTGAAGAGGTCTGGGCTTGGCTGGACTCGAGGCCGTCAAGTTTTCTGACTGTTAGTAAAGGAAGGACTGGGGTTTGTGAGGGATTGTGGGTAATCCTGGACCTGGACTCCAATTAGTCATTGCCATTTTTCACAAAGTGGCTGGCACAAGGTATTGCCTAGGACAGCGCTCAAGCCACCTATGAGCCCGTTTGTGGAGCTTCAGCCAAATCCCAGCCACCTGGTGGGAGGGCAGCGGAGGTGTGGCAAGACGAACGTCTGTGGGCGAGCAAGGGCCGTGGGTCAGCCCCCACTCCGCCCCACAGCCCTGCGGGTCTCCTTGCCCTGACTGCCTAGCTGCAGCTGTCTGTCTCAGCAGGGCGGGCCGATGGTGGGGGAGGAGGAGGGATGTGGGGCCTGCGTGGTGTCCAAGTCTCACACCTCCCTGGAACCCCATCACCAGCTGAGGACGCCACCCTTCATGACCTGGAACCCCATCACCAGCTGAGGACGCCACCCTATATGACACCCCCTCTTGATTTCCTAGGATTCTTCCACCACTGGAAGGCCCCCCTTCCCAGGGGTCCCTGAGCAGCCCTGCACTTGGTGAAGGCTCCCAGCCCGACTGGCCAGGGGGCAGCCGCTATGACCTGGACGAGATTGACGCCTACTGAGGTCATCAACTCTGAGCTCAGGGAGATGGGTAGGTGACCCCTGCACCAGGAATGGGGCCGGGCCAGGCCAGGGCATGATCTCAGCTCCTGGAGGCAGTAGCCAGGGGTGGGCTTTGGGACAGCTCAGACCTACTGCATTGTCGACTGCCGACGTTGTTGAGTGTCTCTGTGTCTGGAAGGGGCAGCAGTCAGGTGGGGCAGTAATAGCCGTGATTGACAGCGGTCTTTAGAATATGGTAGTAAGCAGGGATGCTGGCTGTTTTTTAATGCTGCATGCAGAGTGAGTGAGCTTGCATGTGAGTCTGGGGTGTCACCTGGGCCTGGGCCTATGGATGTGGACCTGCTGACACGTCCATTAGGATATCCTAGGAAGAGCCAGCTCTGCCCTTTTCAGCCACCCGCAAAGGTCCCCCTGTGCACACAGAGCAAGGGCAAGCAGTGGATTCACATGGAGCCAGCTGCATCCCAGAGACACGTTCATGTTACCTGCCCATGCATATGTGCCCAGGTGGTCACAGGCAGGCCCCCTAAAGTCAGAACTCCATGACAGGTCAGGGGCCTTTGAGACTGGAAGATTCAGCCCTGTCACTGCTCAGGAGATGGAGCTGAGGACTGGGACGGTGGATGCTCTTCTCCAGGGCACACAGTGGCTGAGTGGAAACTCGTACATCTGCCCTAAATTCCTACAGCCCCAGGAATATCGGAGCCCAAAGACCAGGCTCCAAAACAGGAGCCCAAACACCCTCTCCTGTCGTCCTCCCCACAGAGAGGCCCGAGCTGGACGAGCTGACATTAGAGCGTGTCCTGGAGGAGCTGGAGACCTTGTGCCACCAGAACATGGCACGGGCCATTGAGACGCAGGAGGGACTGGGCATCGAGTATGATGAGGACGTCGTCTGCGATGTGTGCCGCTCTCCTGAGGGTGAGGACGGCAACGAGATGGTCTTCTGTGACAAGTGCAACGTCTGTGTGCACCAGGTGGGCAGACCCCTGCATGGTGCCGAGTACACCCAGGGCCTCGTGGCCGGCCCTGCTAGCCAGCCTTGAGCAGATGGTGCCCTTCGGGTGGGCTTTCTGTCCTCAACATACTGGGTTGTTGGGAAAGTCTTGATGCAGTTTTGCAGAGAAAACAGAAAAATACCTCATGGCTTTGCCATGAGGTCTTGCCTTCAGACCGTGGCTCTGCCCTCCACGAGCTTGGTGCCTTGGAGCGAATTTCTTAACCTCTCTGGGCCTCTGTGCGCTGAGCTGTAAATAAAAGTGAGTTATTATTTGCTTGCCGTGTGGTAAGAGATGAAGTAATTGCTCCCTTTGCTGGTGCTATGAACCAGGGGCAGCCCGGCCAGGGCCCCTCTCGATCTTGGCCCCAGGGTTCTCTCTAGGTCTTGGGTACCTCTGGGCCCTATTTACACTTGTGAGCCCAGTGCACCCGCTCTGGCCCATGCTTTGAAGCTGCCTTTAGGGGGCTCAGAGGCAGGCCCCACCTGGTCGCAGGGAGTAAGTAGTGCGCCTTCATACACCACACCGCTTATATCCAGCAGCTCTTCGGGCCATGTCTCTCCCAAGTGCTATGCATGACCAGAAGGAGCCCAGTTCACGGATCCCTGTGAGAAAATAAAAACTCAGCCTTAAGCATATGCCTGATTTATATTCAACCTAGAGGGGTTCGTGGACCCTCCCGGAGTCCACGCCAGTTAGGAATATCTGGCTGGAGTGGCTCCTCCCAGCAGAGGGCAGACCTGAGCCCTCCCACGGGGGACTGGAATGGGGAAGTTTCATGCACACGGAGCAGGCAAAGGGCTGTCCAGGGGCCCCTCACCCTGAGCCTGCCCTGCAGCTGTGAGCCTGTGCGGATAGGCTGGTGCCTCTGACCCCGACTGCTTCACTCTTCCCAGGCTTGCTACGGGATCCTCAAGGTACCCACGGGCAGCTGGCTGTGCCGGACGTGTGCCCTGGGGGTCCAGCCAAAGTGCCTGCTCTGCCCCAAGCGAGGAGGAGCCTTGAAGCCCACCAGAAGTGGGACCAAGTGGGTGCATGTGAGCTGCGCCCTGTGGATTCCTGAGGTGGGTAGGCATGGGGACCTGGCAGCCCCAGAGAACAGCCCATGGGGAAGCCAGTCTGTGTGGATGGAACTGGGAACAGGGGCCTGGGCAGAACTTGGGCAGCAAAACACTTGAGGAGAGGGTGATGGGCCTGAGAGGAACTCAGACCTCCCGCAGGGAACTTTGCCTGTGGCCTTGGGCAGGGCCCAGGTGGTAGTTTCTTGGGAAGATAGGGTAACAGGCCAAGGGGGGTTCAGGAGGCAGGTCTGAGGTGTGGAAAGAAGCCAGGCAGCTGACTGGAGAGAAAGCAGGCTGTGGGCTCCAGCTAAACCTAGGCAGTTGGTCTGACCAAAGTCAGACTGCGCATTTAGGACAAAAATGAAACAACCAGCCTAAGAGAAATGACAATGCTGCTGTGGCCATGGCTGGCTGGAGGACTGGGCCCAGGTCTAAGCCTAGGTGGGAAGGTCACAGGCAACAGGCTGGGTCCACAGTGAGTCAGCAGAGGCCCTGGGCTCCTGCAGGGCCATCCTTAGCGTGTGACGTGTGAACTTCAGCAGTATTTCAGCCCCAGCCCTGCTCTGTGCTCTGACCCAGATAGAGGCCCTGCTCTAAGGCTGTCTGTGCCCAGAAGCAAGCCAGGTGGCCCTGGCAGCAAGTGGCCCTCCCTGTCCTGCACTCACAGTGTAAGGTCTCTGCTGGGGCCTCCCTTGAAGGCTTCTGCGATGGCGGTTGCTTTTGCCAGTAGGGTGCTCTTGTTCCCGCTCAACACCTTGAAGGCCAGGACTACCTCTGAGCTTGCCCTGGACTGGGAGCAGCAGAGACAGAGAAGTGGATGGGGGGGCATTAGTTCAAGAGTGATGGAGAGGGGCTCTTCTGTGCTCAGGTGTGGGTGGTGGGGAGACGAAGGTGCAGCTAGGAGGGGCTGTGTCCAGTTGACTTGGGCGCAGCTGCATACTGTCCTCACAGGAGAGGCTAAGCCAAGGCACATCCCCATTGGCTAGGAGAGCACCGAAGACCCTGAAGAAGAAACGCTGTCATGAGCCCTTTCCTTGGTGCTCAGAAAAATAAAAATTGATTCAGGTTATACAAGAACCCTCAAAGGGGGACCAGCAGAGAGTGTAATGGTTATGGACTCCCACATAGTTGACCACAGTTCAAATCCCAGACCTGGCAGCTTAAAACTCACACAGGACATATGTGCATGTGTATTTAAAATCCTGAGAGAATGGAGGAGAAGGGATTGTGTCATGGCCATCCCCCCCGGGGCGGGGGTGTAATTTCTTGCTTTCTGTCTCTCTGTCTCTGTCTCTCCAGCAAGCACATTCGCCCTATAGCAAAGCTCTTGCTCAAGAAAAAAAGAACCCTCAAAGGCCTTGAACAGAAGAGAGGGGGCCTCATGTGTGATTTTGTGTGTGTGTGTGTGTGTGTGTGTGTGTGTGCACGTGCACATGCATACCTGGCCCTACGTGTGTGCACACACACACTGAAGCACCTCCATCTCTAAGCTCGCATGGTCACGGGCACACACACTCGGTCAACTCCATGCACTGGTGTGCTCACTGTCACACCTTCACATACAATTTAAGATGAGTCACAGATGAGCACAGATGAACACACACACTCCGGTAAGCGCAGGAGACAGGTGGACCCCGGGCATCTGCGCCATGCTTGTTTGGAGTCAGGAAACACTTGCAGTTTAGAAGTTCAGCCACTGCCCTGTCCTCCCAGCACCTGGTTGCAGCCCGTAATCCCCTATTTGGGGACCTTGGGAGGCAACTGGGGTGAGAGGCCTGATCTAGCTCTGTGTCTTGCCCAGGTCAGCATCGGCTGCCCAGAGAAGATGGAACCCATCACCAAGATCTCGCACATCCCAGCCAGCCGCTGGGCTCTGTCCTGCAGCCTCTGCAAGGAGTGTACGGGCACCTGCATCCAGGTACATGACACTCACCCCTGAGCCAGCTGCATGGAGAGACTGCCTGGGCACCCTGGACGCAGGCAGCTGCCACCACCCTCACCTGCCCCCAGGGGCTGCAGGCAGAACCAGTTTCCCCAGAGGGGTTCCCAACCACCTTCTGACGGTCGGCTCCCCTAGAGCATAAGGTGCTGAACTCGCTACCCTTCCAGCCACCCCAGAGCGCCTCCTTTTCCACCCGCCGTAGCTCCTTCTATACTTCCCAGGATGTTGGGAGCCCGTGCCATTCTTTTCAGGGTCTCACCAGCAGCCTGCACTGTCAGAGGAGCCCTGGGGGAAGCCCACGTCCTCTTCCCTCCCACAAGGACCCCCTTCGTGCCTGACGCTGCCCTCCCCTCCCTCCAGTGTTCCATGCCTTCCTGCGTCACGGCATTCCACGTCACATGCGCCTTTGACCATGGCCTGGAAATGCGGACTATCTTAGCAGACAATGACGAGGTCAAGTTCAAGTCATTCTGCCAGGAGCACAGTGACGGGGGCCCGCGAGGTGACCCCACGTCGGAGTCCTCGGAGCCCAGCCAGGCCGGCGAGGACCTGGAAAAGGTGACCCTGCGCAAACAGCGGCTGCAGCAGCTGGAGGAGGACTTCTATGAGTTGGTAGAGCCGGCCGAGGTGGCCGAGCGGCTGGACCTGGCTGAGGCACTGGTCGACTTCATCTATCAGTACTGGAAGCTAAAGAGGAAAGCCAATGCCAACCAACCGCTGCTGACCCCCAAGACCGACGAGGTGGACAACCTGGCCCAGCAGGAACAGGACGTCCTGTACCGCCGCCTGAAGCTCTTCACACACCTGCGGCAAGACTTGGAGAGGGTGAGTACCCCTGCGGCCTGCCCACCTGCCTGCCACCCCAGGAGGCCTTCCCTTGGCCTCACTCATTGCCCTGGAGCAGCTGAGGCTTACCAGGACTCAAACTGGGCTCTGGTCTCACTGGCCCTGCGTTAGGGGCAGGCCAAGGGGCAGAGGCACCCAGATCTCAGCAGGATGGGGCACTGGTGCTTACAGAATGGAAAAGGATCCAGCTTTGGGGTCTGATCCTTCTTGTCTCATCACTCCCACAAGCCTGGCTAAAGGTGGGGCCCTTCCTGTATCATGAGGCTTGGGAGCCCCGGAGCTGGGGTGAAGACCTGGGCTTCCCACACTGAGTTGCCTCTGGCCCCCATTGCTGCCTCTCTGGGTCCTGCATGGTCTTAAACTCTGAGGCACAGGAGGATCTGGGGCTTCCCAGGCTGCCCCCTCTCCTGTGCCGAGAGGTCAGGCCACCAAGAGCAAGGGTCGTCCAATCAGCCGGATGAGCAGGTGCTGAGCGGGGGGAGGGCAGGCAGATGAACGCCGCTCCTGCTGCCTAACGGTGGGCAGAGATGATGGGCACAGAGCACAAAAGCTGAGGGTGCCTGAGGAGCAGCAGCGGCCGTGTGGAGTGGGAGGACCAGGCTGGGCTGAGAACTGTGTCTGAAGGCTGCAGAAGAAGCTTTTTTTTATTTTTAGGTTTTTGCCATTGGGCAGGTGTGCTCACTGGAGAGAGACAGAGAGGGAAAGTGAGAAATCAGCCCACGGGGGGCATGGCCACGTTGTAATCCCTTCTCCTCCGGTCTCCTCTCAGGATTTTTGGGCATGTGTACACATGCACTTGGTGTGAGTTTCAGGCCACCGAGTCCAGGGCTCGAACCATAGTCAGCCTTGTGGGAATCCAATGCCTTAACCACTATGGTATCTGTTGACCAGAAGGAAGCATTTTAAGCAGGGACTGTAGTTGTGACTGGGACTTGCAAACCCTCCTCGGAGGAGTCACAAGGTGGGCTGGTCCCCACCCTTCCCCCAACCACAGGTGTATGCTGGGAGACATGTGACAGTGACTTGGTCCCAGGGGCAGCTTTGGGGGCTGAGTGAGATGATGCAGGATGTCTGGGTTCTTGGTCCAGTCCTCCAGTCCCCAGGGGCTGTCCTTGCCTCTCCTGTCTGGAACATAAAGCGTAGGGCTCAGAGCTATGGGATCGTGTCACGGCGTCCTCGATGGGTGTGGGCACACACGATCGCCCTCTCCATGGCCCTGCTAGGAAACAGCCCCGGGTGGAAGCATCGCAGGAGCCTGTTAAGCTGCTGCTTTCTTGTCTACATCACAGCGGGCGCGTCTGAAAGGCAGGCGTCCTGGCAGGTGTACTGCTGTGGGAGGGGCGCCACCCACTTCCCTAATCCCCTCTCCCGGGGCCTGGTCAGAGGAAAGTGACGCTATTATCCTGGAAGGGGGTTTTTGCCTGGAACCTGGTCAGAAGGGAGAGGTGGGTGCGGAAGACCAAATGTCCTGGCTTCAGCCAGCACTGAGGGCAAGGCCACCCATGTTGTTAGCTACCACCTTCTGGACAGCCCAGCTGCCTGTCACATGTGGCAGGAATGTTAGGTGTAAGCCCTTCTGTCCCCAGCCCAGCGCTGTCCTCGGGCCAAGGTCTCCAGTGCAAACACCTGCTCTTACTCCTGCCGCTTCCCAAATGACCTGTCACATTGTCCAGGTCCGTGCTGGTCAGCACACGTGTCTGGCCCTTGCTAGGCTGTTTGGGGAGGTCAGGGGAATTGACGCACTCGTCACCCTGGAAAATACGTGAGAAAGAGCCTCCCAGCCCTGCTGAGCCGATGAGGAAACAGAGAGCTCAGAGAGATGCCTTAGAGGAACTTCCGAGGGCTGAGCTTGAATTCAGTTTTTCCCAAATTGCGGGAGGGCTGAGGCCAGGAAAGGAGGTGCCGGTCATTCTCCAGTCTGCGAATTTCTCAGGTGAAAGCATCCCTGTATCAGCGTCCCAACTTTGCAACCCATGTCGGCTGGTGTAGGTGGGGCTGGGGGCAAGGTTGACAAGGACTGGGATTCCAGCGGGCATACTGATTCAGACCCCTCTGGTAGGGGCCAGAGCCTCCAAAGCCAGGGGTGAACTATCCACTAGTTCTCCAGGGAGAGGAAGCAGGTCCGACTTTGAAGTCTGCGCAGCTTCCCCAGAAATCTCCAAGCTGGGCCGTGGGCACCCGCGGAGCTCCGGGCAAAGTGGTGTTCAGCCCTGGCAGAGCCGGGGAGAGGAAGAGTGTCAGAGACGGTGATGAGCCAGGTCCCTGTCCTTGCTGTCCTAGCCTGGGGGGCCTCGTGGCCACACATTGGTGGTGACTTAAGTGAATAAACAGCATTGAGAACTCTACTTTGGGGGAGGCTTGCTGTGAAGACCCACGGCAGGTGGGGGCCTGGCCAGCAGGCCCTGTCTTTGACCATGGCCTAGTGCCAGCAGCCAAGAGTACCCCGCCTATGACTGGGCAGCAGGCCAGCGTAGGCCTGGATCCATGGGGGAGGCAGGGTAGGGCTGGAGCTTCAGGCCTTGGGTAGCCTGGGTTTGCATCCTGTTCCAGCTCTGTGCCTCCTTTGTTTCAGTTTCCACTTGGAAGTTTCAGTTTCCTTGTCTGTGAGATGGGAATGAGGATCCGTCTGACCTGGAAGGTCACAGCGATGAGGGAGGACACTTTCGCACAGGGCCCTCCATTGCTAGTCGTGATTGTTCTGCCCTGGCCCCACAACCACTGTGTGGAGAGGGAGGTAAATCCTTGCGCCCCAAGGATGGGCTCCATGGAGGACTGAATGTGCAGGCCCAGTGCCAGGGCCTGGGAATGCCAGCCTTCTCCTTGATGGATTTGCACCATCCCCTACCCCCCTTCCCCCACCAGCCCGGGGTTTTGCAGAGAGAAGCAGGAGCTAGGACTGCCACCAGCATGAAATCTCATTTTATGGTCAGCCCAGAAGATGTGCTTTCCTGAAATTCCAGCCGTAGGCCTCATCCCTGGCAGGCAGCTTGGGAAGGCACGGCCGCCACAGCCTCCCAGAGTTATTCACGGCTGACAAAAAAATTGCAGCACTGACGATCAACCCGACAACGCTGGCTGGTGTCCCCTAGCAACCGCGCCGGCAGTGGGGCTGTGCAGGCACTTGCTGCCTGTGGCTCTGGATCTTATTACCAGGAGTTTATTCACGAGCCTGACCTGGCCTGAGCGGGCAAAAGGGTGGAGGCAGCTCTTCGACATCCACACCTGCCCAGAGGCTGGCTGTGGGAGCTCCCCGAGGCCTTACTTCCGCTACCTCTCCCAAGGAGGGGAAGGCTTAGAGGGAAGCAATCCTACCCGGCTCTGACACTTGCCACCTGCCTCCTTGTCACTTGGTCACACTCTGTTTGTCATCCTCAGTGTCTGGATTGTGTTCCCCTTGGCCTCCCACCAAAGCCTGTCTTGTCCTGGGTGGCTCCAGCCTCCAGATCTCTGGCTCCTCAGCCCCTGTGCCTCCCCTCCTGGGACTTCTCCAGCCCCTAGTGCCCCACCCCCTAGCTGAAACTGCTCCCAGGTCAGTCACCCTGAAATGACCCAATCCTCCTTCCTATCCACAGTCTCCTGTTCTCCCTGCTCATTTGTCTCCGCCCCACCCCTCCCTTTCCCTCACTGGGCAGTAGCCCTCTCCCTAGGCCTTTGCCCCATACCAAGGCCGTATCCCCTGGCATAGCCTTCCACAGTAGGAGGCAGTTCAGCCCACCAGGAGACCTCCCTATCAGTGAGCAGGCGAGTCCCTCTAGGGTCCCCAGCAGCCAGCCTTGGCAGGACACAACGCTCGTGT